AAGTAAATGTAAGCATTGATCATCTTGCATAAGCGTTTTCTGCAGCTCTGCTGTCCAGTTTTAAATTTTAGTGTTAGAAATCCTGACCTGTAGCAACTGCTATAGATAAGTGCTTGCATATACATGCTAACCCAAAAGTATGTTTCAGGAAGTGAGGTAGGTAATTACCTTTGCCCCCGAATCATCATTTTTTATCTGGCTCTGGCTGGTTGATCTTGGGATTTTATTAAAATTGAAGTAGACCCCACAAGCAAGTAATTTGCCTGCTCCTATAATATAAGGGATAACTGCATAAACACAGAACTACGCTGCCTATGGATATAAGGGGTGGATCTTGTCCAGAAACTCTCAGATGACTAGAGGGTTAAATTCCCAACAACTGCCTTATGATTTCTGGAGAAGCCATTATTTGGAATTATTCTTCATAACTGCAGCCCTGCCACACACGATGTTACATCAAGAGCAAATCTTTGCTTTGATAATCTGCTTTTATCTCATCCCAAACACCTGCGGGTCATAAAAGGGAAAAAGGAAAAGTTTGTTCCTCCCACAGTCAACAGCACTTGCAAGCAGTACAGAACATGGGCTAAAGACCTTGATTTTGATTTGTACACCAAGACTTCCTGTCTCCTCTCATTGTGCTAACCAAAGGAAGAATATGAAGACAGAATGCTAAGGTCTCAGACAGATGCATAAAGTTGTAATAGGACAAAGACCATGTTCAGTCCTCAATTTACATTTTGTATTCAGGCATGGATACTATGAACAAAGTAGTTTGTTTTTCCTGGAAATGGCAGCGCTTAGTTGAATTTATCACTTCCCTTAGCAAAGACGGTACTTCCATCTTTTTCTTTAAGAAAAGTGCTGGTTTAAATGCAGGTGTGCCATTTTCAACTAATGTGAAAATGTGCATTCTGTATCTAAGCATCCTAAAGTCATAGAACAGATGATAAGATCTCTGAATCATTCAGCCAATATAAATTTTGGAATACAGAATAAAATAAAGACAGACTGAATGAATGAGATTCTTAATTTTAAGATGAAATTTGAGATCTTTAAGAATCTGCCTAATAAACCAGTCTGAACTTGCCAGATCTCACAAGTTATAGCACCATCATGGCTGTGGAGTCGTTTACATTCTTCGACTATGTGGTAGTGGTGTTTTTTAAACTTGTGAACAGGTTACAATCCCCAGAATAGTTCAATTTGAGGGTGCCTCGGAATGTTCTACTGTCCCTAAAAGGGGATGGTGACAATTTCATGGAGCAACATTTTCACATTTAACACATACAGTATCACAGGAATTGCTCAAAAGTGCTAGATATGGGGTTAATTTAGGCCATACATGAATACCCAGAGAACAGTACAGGGATGCATCTGTAGAGGTAAACAGCCTTTCATCGGAGACAGCTGCTGCTTCATATTTTCCTATATGGAGCCAATTCTTTAATGTGGTTTATTATTCATTTATGAAGGAATGGGCAGGGCAGGATTATAATGTTGATTCTCCTGTGTAAAGTATTTTTTAAAAGTTTCCCTCAGGGGAAAAATGATCAGGAACATATTTATAACTTTACCTAATGAAAATGAACCTTTATTCCTTTAGGCCAATAGCTGGAAGCCTTTCCAGTCTCTTAACAGTCGGATTCAGATGGTGTTTCTCAGATTCCTAGTAAACAGAAACCTGCAAATTGAATATTTAAGAAGGGAAGAACCTCTCTTTCTGACTCACAAGATTTTGAGCACTTGTATTTCACACCACAATCCAAGCATAGTATTTCAAATTGTTTTGTAACCCTTATTTTTAATTATCAGCTCTCTATAATCAGCCTAGAAAAAGGAAAATACAATTTTATAAATAACAATTTTTTTGAGTATGCACGCCCACATTTTGAGTATGCATGCACACACACAGATTTTTTGACATAAACATTCTATATATCTATGTTTAAATCTAGAAGCATGCTTTGTGCATTTAAAGGTATTTGACCTTCAAGACTTCCCCCTTCCCCTGCCCACACACCCTTCCCTCCAGCTACCAACTGCTTGGTGGTTTCCCAGCTTTTGCAGTTTATTGCCATATTGTGAAAGGCCAACAAGTCTCTCCTAAGGTGTCATACTGGCCATAAGAGCTTGAAGGTAAAATCTTTTTGGTTTTTCAGCTCCTCTATTTTGCCTTTGGCCTCATCCTATTTTGTGTTATGCCTTGCCCACTGATGGGATGTAGCCCCCAAGAGATCCTCTGAAATTGAATTTGACTGTTGGACTTCAGGAGGTTCAACAGGAGGATAATGTGTGTTTAGGTTTCTTCTCTCCTGCTCCTAACACCAGAGAAAACATCCTGGACTCAGTTTCAAAAGATCAAGCCCTCAATTTAATAGAACCAATAATCACCGAGTAATCTTGCATTTTTACATATGTGGGTTCAGGGTAGCAGGAACCACCAATTGACTGTAGTGAACCAAAGTAGCTGGGTGTGTGTGGAACCCATGAGGCAGATTCATGAAGTATTCAGGTTTTTAACTTCTCTCAACAAACATAAGCAGGTAGAGGGCAAGCAGGCAATGATACAGAGTCAGGGTGCTCTGTTTTCCATGAATCTTAGCAGTCAGGCCACACACTAAAATGACTGAAGAATGGTAATCGGTACTTTTATGTATGCTACAGGTTGCCAAAACTGTGGAATTAACAACAGGAGTTGGACTGCTTAGTAACATCTCAATGGGTACTCTTCATCAGACCATTCGCTACTAATATCCATCATGACATCCCCAAGTACTATACACCTTGGATGAAGAGCTGTGTGAAGCTTGGCAATCATTTGAGTTTATATCTGCCCAAGCTGGTTTATAATGTACAATTAGTTACCCCTTTCAACATACAGTGGAAACTAAGCCCTAGTCTGAATTTTTAATTGCCGTGGGTTACATGACCAAAGCCTATTCACAGCAGCTCATATCAGATGCTCTTTCTGGTGGGAGAAAAATGAAATTTCCATTTGCACGGAAATCTTCTATGTGATTTTACTGAATGTATAGATCACCTTTAGGGATAATTCCAATCTAACTACATGTGTGTGTGAAATACCCAGAATAAATTTTGCTTTTTCTTTCTTACATACCTGCATATTCTGACAAAATTTGGCATAAACCTTGATCAAGAGGTGATCCTGACCTATCCAATGGATTATGTTGTCATGATGTGGGTCCAGCTCTAAAGCAAAGTTATCTCCATTCAAGGGTGAGAACAAGGTATTGGATGTTTGTTGCTCAAAAGGCACATAGATTGTACAGATTATATATGACTATATTCTCTAACAAACAATCACATCCTTTCAAAACTCATATGTATTCTGTGTGAAAAAATATTTCAGTAACCCTGCAGAAATGAAATGGTATTGCTTTGCTTTAAAAAGGAATCCTTACATTTATTGAAATGCCCAAATGGGCCAAAGCGTGAACAAGTGCACCTCCAAATCAACTTCTAACAAGATTAAAGAAAACTTATTAAAATTGGTGCACAAGTGATATTTCACTCCATTGAGAATGAATTACATTAATAACTCTATATCCCAGAAATGCTGAAGGGCTATAAAAACAATGGCACATACTTTCACTTGTGATGAACAGCTAATCAGTTAAGTTAAAGAGGAAGAAGAAATCACAAAGCAGAAAATCAAGCTCTCCAGCACTGGATTTTTGTTTTGTCTATCAAATAAACCTAAAGCATAAAGCACTTTTGTCATTCCTATAGGCGGTAGCATAATTAACAATAGAATCCTCCTGAAAAAAGAACCAACAAACTAGCTTTCAATATAGAGAAAAAAGTATTGAATTGTTGCTTTAATGAAGAAATTAACATTCCAGATTAAGCAAGATCGGTCTGAAAAATACAAGGACTTTTAATGAAAATTAGAACACTTTTATAGATTTGCAAATCTTCAGGCTAATATAGAACCTCCATATATACATGGGTCATGTTGGAAAGATGCTTTGGAATAAAAAGAAGAGCATAATTTATGACAGTTAACATATAAAGACAAAGATATCTAACTCTTGTACAAATATTAAACTTCTTAATCAATTGTAAAATGGTATTGATTACATTAATGCAGTTCACCCAATGACTGTTTGCTGCTATTGGCTTACATGCTTATAATTAATATACATTGCATCAATTTTATAAGGAAATCAATAAAATATTTTAAAAAGAAATAATATTTTAGGCATGTACATAACATTCTTTCCTTAGCTCCTGGCTCTTTTCTTTATTTTGGGGGGTAGACTTCCTAGTCTGCTATGGATAATTTTGTTTCTGCTTTTTTGTACTTCCTTTAAGTTTTAGTACTTTTTCAAAGGAGGAGTCAGTAGACATCTAGAATGGTTCTCAATATACTGATAGCTGGCGAGCAGGTGCACCCCCCTGCAATATTCTTTCCCCTTCTCTTGACATCCAGTTTGATTTTTGAAGCAAGACAATACTTTGTATTGACCATTTGAGGGATTATAAAACAGATGTAGATATTTGTAAACTGCCTGGAGAGCTCTGGCTATGGGAAGGTAGAGACATGAAATATAATAATAATAATAATAATAATAATAATAATAATAATAATAATAATAATTCAGAAACAAAGTGAATTTAACAGAAAACATTTTTTCCTGCTAAGCATCCCCTTGCTTTTACTGTGTCTCCTCCCACTGCTATCTAATCATTTTGTAACATCATGCAGTCAGCCTCAAGACTTAGTCACACTGTACTATCTTGCTTTCCTAAGGTACTGGAACCCAGAAAGCTGGCATTTTCATCACTATGAGATCAGCTAAGCCGTTCTTTTGATTGAGCACAATCTGTGTGGTCCCTGCTTTTAGCTTGGCTGGCAACACAGGGCTTTTGCTGGATTCACAGGAGCCAATATCACCCTCTGCAAGGCGGCATGCATGTCAATAAGGGGAGGCGTGGTGGAAGAACCAAATGGAGGAGACAGACGGCAAGACAGATAGATGCAACTGTAAATATTTCTTTATTGGGGTCTAAATGGAACACTGAAGCAGGAAAGGCTACCAGTGATACCAGAATCATGCTCACAAGTCAGAACGTTTTGTCGCGCTGCTGGTTTGGGCAACAGAAAACCATCCTTCATTTCTGCCAAACTCAGATTTCCATCAGCTGGTCGGTACCCACAATAACTTCATTAATGTGTTTAGCTGGAAGAGAGAAGAGAAAGAGTTTAAAACTATGCCCTGTCTAACCCAACCTAGGAGGGGTCTGGAATGGGGGAACAGGACTGCTGTTAAAAATAAATAATTTGTTCCCACAACCAACCATCAGCTGAAGGTGTCTTTAATGAGCATGCTTACAAATATGCATCCTCGCCACCAATCAGCAAAGAGACAGCATTAGTGTGGTTGATGGGTGGACAATTCCATCAGCAAGGACTCATGCAAGCCCTAAAGGAAGGCAGTGCTGTAGAAGTTAAATCACAGCACTACCCCACCCAGGCAAACCTCCCATTGGCAAGGAGCTAAACCCTTTTCTGTCAGCTCTGCGACAGAAGCCAGCCCAGAATTAGCTGAAAGGAAAGGGCTATATAGCAGTTTTCACTCCCAGGTAGAAAGGCAGTTCTATTTAGCTGGCTTCATCCTGTTCTCTAACCCAGATAGGCATTTACAAATTCTCAACCTCCTCAGAGGCTGTCTTTTATTCACAATTGGCAAGGCTACAGATGCATTCAAGCTGAAAAGAAAAGAGACGGATTAAAGAAGGTACTTTTAAAAGAGTACGAGAATTTGGACTCTGCTTGGCACGATTGTTTCAGACTGAGAGCATCTGTGCCAAACAGATCCAGAGCCACATCAAAATGTCAGATGAGCATTTGGTGAGGGAGCACTGCCTGGCCCATTTGTTCTGGGTGTTCCAACCTGAATGGCTTAGAGAATATGTCACTTGTTACACAGGAATTTCTGCTGGGAACAGAAGAGTGCTGCAAAAAGCAAGCTCCCTGAAAAAATGCAGGCTCAGAGCACCTCACAGAAAGCTTGGGATCTAGAGGCTGATGAGATTCTGTTGCAAAACAAACTGTAATGTGAATAAATTTGGGAACAAAAATGACTTGGTCCACAGAACACGACCATGATACTGGGCATTAATGACAAAGTGCTTTCCTTCACTGGACAGCAGATATTTCCTGGCAGCATCTCTCCTAGAGAGCTCTCCCTTCAGGGGGAATATGAAAGCTTCTCCTTGTTGTTTGCTCAATTAGCCCCAGACAGATTGCTGCTGGTGGTGGCAAGCTAAGCTGTAAAGGAGGAGGAAGAACAGAAGGGTGTGTGGGAAGGGAAGAGAGAAGGAGTTAGGGCCAAAGCACAAGACCACCACGAAGTTCCAGCCCTCAGGGGCTCCAGAAAATGTTCAGTTTACTCACTCAATTACATACACTGTTTTATAAATCCTTTAAAATAAAACAGAAAACAGTCCCTGGCACAGAATTACTGCTCTATTATATACCAGCACTGAAAGACTTTGCTGTGTATGAGCACTCCTTAAAAAATGGATAGTTTTAATACTAACCACTACCACCACCATTTCTTAAAAGGAACAGAAAGGGGAGGGTGCTGCAATGCAGATATGAGTGTACAAACTCTCTCACACACATGCTTACGCACAGGGTGCTTTGAACCAGTGCAAAGGGCAATCATTCACTCCCTTTTGGCCTACTGGATACTAGGTGAAATAGAGGGGATACACACAAGGGTTTCTGGATGCAGAGAGCAGCTGCAACAAGAGGTCATGAGGCAGGGTAGCTCTGGAAGTTCCATGTGAGAGAAAGGAAACAGGTGGTGCAGCTGGCTTGTTTGTGTTGGTGGGGTGAGCGGGAGCTTCTGATGAAGGTTTGCTCTATCCTTTCAAGCTGTGTTTAGACAATTCAGGGTGCCCCCCTCAAAGGCCCACAGACCTGAAGTGGCTAATGGACTCGCACACTTAAGCTGTCAACACCCACCTCCCAAGAGCAACTGCAACTACCTGGATGGACTTCTGCACTTAGAGATGAGGCTTCATTCATTGGCAGATGCGCTAACTAAGATGGGTGCATCAGAGGTGCTAGTTAACAGGCCTCTTCAGAAAAACTTTATTGCTACATTCGCTGGTCTGGTTAATAAAATAATGAATGCAAGAAACAATACCCTGCTTGGACAACAACTCCTTTGTTGTGGGAATAGGGTATTTTTATTCAGAAGAGTTACTTGTTGAACTAAGATTAAATTGTGTCCATTCACCAAATCTGTACCGATGTCTTCAGGCACAGTGCCGAAGGTCTGGACAGGAGAGCAAATGTCTTACAAAAGTATGACAACAGGACAATGAGAGGCAGAACAGGAACCAGCTTCCACAGGTAGGCAGAGGAATTGAATTTTCATAGACCCATTTGTGGCAGGAAACTGCTCTTTCTCAAAACTCTGAATTTGGTATTTTATACTTCTATACATTGTATTGATCACACAGCAAAGAATACCTGAGGTGAACCATACCTGTGATAATTGTAGAAAGCTGCTTGCATGGCCCAAATAAGCCAGGCTGCCTTCTATGCACTTAGATAAATGGAAGATAATTCCACACCTTTACAGCAACTATAGTAAAGATCCTCTTGAATAGACAGCACATGAAGCAGGACCTGATTTGATTAATTCAGAGTATGCATTTGTGTGTATGTGGTGTTGTCTTAATTCTCACCATAAAATGTTTTAAAGGTTAAATACAGCATCCTGACTTGGATGTTGCAGCAAATTGGCAGAGAACTGAGCAGAGAATATATATGCAGAGTATGAGTATGTTTCAGCATCCCAATAATTTTATAAGGAGTGGCTGGAACCCTGTCTCCTTCAATGAATATTATAACCTGTACCTGAATAGCAATAGAGGCTCACTTTGAAAATTGTTTTTGGTTCTATAGACTATCTGGGTTATGCAGAGATTGGAGACTGTTGGGAAACAGCAGGAGCCCAATTTCTGTATTAAGGCAAAAAGGATGCAGGCCTATGGTTGGAAATTAATTGGGAATTTTATTCTACGTCTCATTTTGTCAAGAGCTGCCAAGGAGAATATAAAAATTCAATTATTTTCAAAGATTTTTGTTGCTGAACCCTGAGGCAGTGTGTGGAAAACAGACGGTTTTGCATTTTGTTTTTGATTTTCAGCCATCGAGCCAACCGGGTGACTTTGGGCCAGTCACAGACTCTCTGCCCAACCTACCTCACAGGGTTGTTGCTGTGGGGATAAGATGGAGGAGGAGAATGATGTAAGCTGCCTTGAGCCCCTTGTAGGAAAAAGGCAGGATATAAATTGAAAAATAAATAAATAAATATGTGATTGATGCATTTTAAGGGCTCCCAAGCAAACTTCTGAAGGAAAGAGGGAGGAAACAAGAACAGGGGATAAACAAGAATTATAAGCTCTTTCAATGAGTGTCTTATATTATTGCAGAGCCACCCATGTACAGATGCAACTATAAGCTGCATATACCCTGCCAGTTCCCTACAGTTAACCTTGCAAGGCCTTCCAGATGCACAGTTGCTATTATACAATTGTCATGTGGTGATCCGGACAGCTAAAAACAAGGTCTTTGACTCACAAGAGCTGTTTACAGAGAGCCTCAGGCCACACAGAGCAGTTTCCTGTTCTGGTGGATTCTAGTCCAGAATAGACTTCTGCATTTAAACTATGATCACTTTTGACTTCTCTACAAAAGCATGATCATAATTACAGAAGGAGACACACTGTTCAAAATATCTAGGTGACAAGAGCCTGGGTATGTTTTTTGTTGCAGAAAACAAAGTTGAATTATTGGGGTACTGCCAGGTGCTGGCTGCAGAGAACATCCTAGCATGCTGACCATATGTTTTATGGGCATGGGAAAGCAGAACATTTGCAATTCCGTGATATGATTTACATAACAAGATTGACTATTACAAATTGTTCAACTTATAGTACCATTAACAACTTGTTAAGATGGGCAAGGAGAAGCAATTCCTTTAATTGTTGTTCTTGAAAGATGTTCATTACTAAACTTCAGATACTACTAGTAAATGAATCCTAGTAGTAAATTATGACCTCTGGACCCTACATGGCTTTCTACAGCATCACAAAGAAGAATTGGAAGGGACAGAAATATGGATATGAATGTGACTGACAGTTTGTTGTGCCAAGAAGACAAAATGTTAAACTTCATGAAGCGCTTGCACAAAAGAAGCAATAGCGCTGCACTATTAGGAACTAACTGGGTTTCAGCAGGAGTGTTCTGTCCAGTTTTGGTCATTAAGAATGTAAACCAAGAGAAACAAATGCAGTAGGGATTAAAAAATAATAAAGCACTTGGTACACATGACATTTGATGGAATCCTAGACTTCTACAGCAGGTGTTTTAAAAGCTGTCACCATAGTTTCCACCAAGTCAAGAAGACAGTCCCTTAATAGTCCCCAAATGTAAAAAGAAGTGTTTACATTTGCAGCATTCATGTTTGTTCGTGACTTAGAGTCAAGGCAATAAGCAACTGGGTATACAATACACTTTAAAGCATCAGAAAAACCTGTGTGTACATTGGCAGGGGCCTAAATAACTGTCCAATTGATCTCATGTGCTGAAAACCAAATCAAGCGGTTGAGACTCGCCTTGCAGCCAAATCAAGAAATATCTAGGTTGGCAGTCGAGTCAGGGATGAACTTGAGTCTCCTCTAATAGAAGCTGCTGATGGCTCAATGTAGGAGGCCTAAAATGCTACATAAGCAGCACAGAATTTGAGAAAAGAAAGATGATGAAAACATAAAGAAGTGGTCAAATATACAACACAGATGGAAAAATGAAAAGCGAGAACAAGTATGTGATAGAATGCTGGGAAACAGCAAAATACAAAATGATGGATAGTATTCCATTAGGCATGACTACTAACCTAGATTATGCTGCACAAGTGCAAATTATGCTAGGGCAATGTCAGCACAATTCACTGATTCACTGATTTCCCCAGAAAACTGGCACACTAGTTACATAATTATGCTAGAATAGTTTACTCTAGAATAATGCAACTTGTATTAGTCTTGCAATGTATAGGATACTGCCTTATGCATGCAATTCATAACAGAATAAACTGAAGATGGACAGTAGGGATCACTTCCTTAGCTGAAAGATTGCCTTGGGATACCAGGTACGCATTTGCCTGAATTACAGTCTTTCAGGAATATGTGAAGTGAAAGATTTAGCCAGTATAAATTGATTAGGCAAGATTAGCTTTCCCTTGAGTTTCTTTCCATGGATTGACTAGTGGAAACAAACTGCACTCTAAAAGGATGTGAAAATAGTTCCCCATGACAGTGGCAGGCAGTGATGCATACAACTGAATGGAGTACAGAAATATCAAACCAAACTGAGAAGGAATATAGAGTGGGATTATAGGAAGCTGCTCCCTACTTTGGAAGTTTCCTGCTCCATCAGCCCAATTAAATCCAAGCCTGACCGTTGGAACCAGTGATGAGCAAGAGATTTTTTTAATGGCAGAACGTAGAAGATTTGCTACTTAGTGCTTTAAAATGTGATGCACTCCAAACTTTAGGGATGAGGTGGCATAAAAATCCTGAAATGAAGAAATAATCACTATCAGCAAGACTGCATGGTAGCTGTTCAGACACATGGGAACTAAATCTGCATTGTGTATATCGCTCAAAGTAGGAAGTAAACTAATTCTGACATATGCATAACAACTTCAACAGAAACAGCAGCATGCATTCGTGTTCCAAGTAAATTATAAAATATAGTGCAAACGCTTCTGCAAGTAGGTTAATACACAGTTTATACACAAATGCAGCAAGCATTTCCACTAGCAACAGTTAAGGTGTACAAATCACACATACTGATAAGGGGGGGAAAAGGCAAGTTAGCTATCACCAACACAATGGAACCATTTAACACAATGCTTTTGTCACAACTACACACCTGAAACAAGAAGCTGCCAAATATTCCCTAGATATTCAGTTGAAAGCTATGGGTTGAGAGCAGATAGTTTAAACAGTCTGTCCCTCATCAAGCTTGGGCTCACCAATTCAGTTGCCATACTGTAACAGTGAGCACCTTCTGATCTACATCATATTTAAAATCAGATCACTGGGGCTACTACTTATTTTGCATGGCTGTGCTGCACTCCACTCCACATGCTTTTTGGTGGAGGGTTTGCTTCCTGAATCCAGGTGCAAGGCAGCACATTTGTCCCTTCAACATCTACTAAAAGCACTTTCAAAGACTAGGGAAGGACTGTACAACTCACCAGGCTGTGTGGTATCTCAGCACAAGCTCATTTTGCATGCACCCATAAACTACCAGGTACTGTCAAGTAACTGAAATTATTGTTTAAGTTGGCACAATGGGTATTCAGGAACCACATTCTGATATCCAATAAAACATGGATCAGGTGGTAGACAGGTAGATAACCACTCTCTAGAAATCTAGTTCAACCTTTTTCCTCCATTTTGATGCAAATCTTCAAATATTCAAGCCACTAGATCATACCTGGATTTGGTGATGTACATGGCAGAAGCCAATAAGCTAACAACTCCTTGTGCTACAAAGGTATTTTAGAAGTGATCCAAATGTGGCCACATTCTTTATTTGGGGCGGGATCCTAAACAACTACTATTTCAAGATGATAATTTTCCTACCACCATGCAGTATTAAATCCATTGATGCTTCACTTGCATTTTGTCCTGCTCAAGAAAGGATAAATCGCAGAAGTGGTGATGGATTAGGAGCGCAGCCCTTTTTGCTACCACTGCTTACATCAAAACCATTCTTCCACTTACATTTGGGATCCAAGTGCTGGCTGTTTCCGATTAAACAGTCCTTGATGTCAGCTCCTTTCTCTATCACTGCGTTATGGCACACAACACAATTCTGCAGCATGCACCTGTAATATAAACATAAATGAAGGGTAAATAGGCATCTGGAAAGTAGGTGAAGCACAGGAATGACTGTCTGACCCAGCCACCAACACCGTAGACAGGGATGTCAAAAAATGATGAGGTAGGCGAAGGGACCATGGTTCAGTGGTACAGGACAAGATCTGCAGGCAGAAGGTTCAAAATCCATTTAAAAATCCTTATCCAGTAGCAGGTGGTATGAAAAACCCTGTGCCTGAGACTCTGGAGAGTCATTGCTACTCAGTGTAGACAATACTGGGTAAATGGACAAACAGCCCGCCCTGGTCTAAGGCAGCTTCCTATGAACGTACCTAGGGAATAGAACCTGCCTTTCTTCAAATTGTAGCCCTTTCCTTTCCCACCCGGGCGCTTAGTTGCTATGACAGAGCTCTACTGCCAGATGTCACAAAGGAAGCACACAAAAGGACAAAGACAAGACAGTTGCCACCTTTCACATCTAGGATGCTTTTCTATTTGTGGCTTCTACTGCCTTGCAGAGCTCCCCCCACACTTTTGTATTAGGGTAAATATTGCCACTGACTTTGTATTCATGCACACACAAATACTCTGCTATGCTAAACCAACAAAAGGCAAGGAAAGAAAGCCAGGAATGCTCTCTGGTTCAGGGATTCCCAATTGGTGCAACCTTTCACACTGTTTGCTAGAATAACAAGGACATCAAAAATAGTAAAAGGTGGATTCTCCTGCTCATAGGCTTTGCAAATGGACGTGTTTTTTACAGTTTATGAAGTGCTAGATCATAAAGAAACTCATTTCATGTTCCTAATGCCACCTTTTCAAAAACACACACATGCAGCACTGGTTTTTTCATTTCTTATGAGAAACTACTATTAAGAGTAATGAGAATTAGCATATCACATACTAGAAGAACGCACTGTCATTACATTTGATTTACTTCTTATAACATATTATGTGCACAGTCAGATTACAGCTGTTGCTTTTGCATCAGAAATAGAAAAAATTAAACCTCAAGCATCCAGCTATTTGTGCAGATCTGATTTCATCACATAACGCAATATCTTGTGTTTCTATTTCTTATGGACTACAGACTGGTCCTTGGGAACTAGACTTGAAATCTAGCCACAGCAATTCACAAGCCATAAGGTTCTTATAGATGGCTTCCAACTGGTTGAATTTCTACAGTGTTCACCAGATCTTCCCACAGGCCTTTTCATAATGAGTCACAAGGCTAAATTGCTTTTCACCATCTCGTTTTTGGCATCAAATTCCAAAATGCTGGAAAAAAGTCAATTTTTGTAATTGGGAAGCATTTGAGAAAAAAATTGTTTGTGCAAAACTAGAATATTTTGTAACTTCTGGATGCAGAAACTATCAACATCACTTGAAACATCAAGCATACAGTTTACATTTTTTCAAGTTAATGTTGACTAAAGTTGAGGATTTAAATGTTTCACACAGAATTCCCGCCCATTTTAGAACAGTACACAGGGGAAACACAGGGACTGTGAAAGTTCTCCCCCTATTGGTTATTGGTGTTGTCTGAGTGGATCATTGCTGCCAAGACTGGCAAGTCATCCCCTGTAAAGCTAAAGACATATAGAAGACTTCAAATACCAAGACACAGGCCTTGACTGGACTTAATGAAAATTCACAGGGATACAATCATAATGCCCTGGGTTGCTAAGGAAACTGACTCCCACCTCAGGCACACAATCACAAACTGAGCTTCTGCAGTCAAAGCAGAGTTGACAATCCTCTTGTTGAAAAGAATTTAACTCCCTCTCTAAGACATCATAGGGTTCAGAGAGGAGCAGGCCTAGGGTATGAAAAGGAGACATTTTGAACAGGCAAGGCTCCCCTTGCTCCAGGCTCAACTGCCGCCCCTCTCACACAGGAAGGCTGCAGAGTTATGCATGATGGAGTCATCTAAGGCAGGTTGCCTTGGCAAGGCCTCTTATTGAGATGTTAATGGGGGGAAGGCTGTATAGACAGCTCTCTCCCTTTGCTCCCTATTGCCTCTGCACAGTTGCTTCCTTTCCAACAACTCCATTTACGCATAGCAGTAATAATATGAAGACTGACCACCCTCCTGTATACAACAGCAGAATTTTTAGAGTGTCCAGGATCCTTTGGTCTTCACTCTGGAAAACCAGAGTGCCACTGGATTCTTGCCATAGTGGCTCATATCATAGTTAATCCCCCCTCCCCATAACTCCTAGCTGGGCTGCAAGCTCTTCAAGACGCCCCTGCTTTGCCATAACAGAAAATTGCAACAATAACTTCCCAAGCCTTATAAGGGACTTATCCTGAAAGATTCTCAGTATCTTGGCTCCAATATAAATGTTGCAGAAGTAAACATACGGTCCCTCCTCCCCTCTCTTTTATTGGTCATTTGTCAGCAGCACTAATTAGAAGGCATTGTACAGCTGTTCTGCCTTTTCTTTCTTAAGAGATTTTCTTCAGTAAAAGAAAACATGGAAGAAGTGCTGGGGAAACATGGAAGGTTACAAGCTGTAGACACCAGCTGGTTCTTGCATAAAACTCCACAGATGACACAGAGTGATGGTACCAGAGGTTTTGTCTGAAAGTACCCAAGGCCTCAAAGGTTCTGCTATGAGACAATACCTAAAGAACTGCTAGTTTTCATTATGTTAGCACACCAGTATAAACCAAGCTAACTAGTTTGCAAAGAGCTTCCAGAACCATCTTCTTAGGATACAATCCTATGCATGTTTAGACACCAATTTCTACAGTATCTTGAATACCCTGGGATAGCACCTTTAAAGATTATAACACATTATAGACAGGGCTAGTAACTTGACCTTGAACAGCCTCTCCATCACACTGAGACTAAGTAAGAGTTCTGTGAAGATCCAAAGCTACATCTTCCCAAGTTTTGTGAGCTTTAGCTGGCCAGTAATAATGATACATACTGATATTACTGCTGTGGAGTTCATTAGGATAAGAAATCCTATTGTACCAGCCTTTGTCAGGTGTGAAGAAGCAGTGAAAGAGCAGAAATATCATTTTGCATGCCAGATGCTTGCAAAACTAAGGTAACATATTTGCTGGCTCCAGAAAGAGAACAGCATACCAGGGCTGGAAACATTTCAGAATTCAATTTCTATTTGCAGAATTTCAAGCACGCATTGATAATTCTAGGCTCTCACTACAGCCCTGCCACACAATAGAGCAGTTTGGCTAGCTTTTACCACAGGAGTGGAAAACAAATTGAAGGAGTAAAACACATTTTGTGGGTGTTCCTTCCACACACTGACAGATGTAATACAGCCATTTGGAAATTACTTGCAAATGCTTTTTTGTGTGCATTTAAAAAATCAAACCAACCAGGCTGCCAGCAGAAGAATTTTGTGTTTATAATTTCAACCTCCTTTCTGTCTCCTCTCCCAAATCCAGTGTAAAGAGTCAGAAAAGGCTTATTTTCTTATATGGTAAGCATCTCAGTTCATGTCAGCCTGATTTCCAATTCTGAGCACTGCATCCCTATAAAATTACAAATATTAATGTCTGTAAGCTCTTACAACAGCTTTATAGCAGCCACCTATATATGGAAGAGAGTAGATTCTAATGAGAAACATATTATTGTTCAAAAATGGCCATTTTTACAGTTTCAGCACTGTGAAAGTGAATGTTTTCCAAACTTAAAATCTGAGGAGATAGTTGCACAACTTTAAGAGCATACAGATTGGCCAATATGAACACAAAATTAGGTTCTATAGACTTTCTCACTCTGAATCCTCTACAGTGCTGGGTGGGAATGATGGGAACTGTAGTCAGACACATCTGGAGGGTACAGGCTGAGGATATCATAGTGTTATGTTAACTTTTTATGTCCAGTAAGTTTTGCACAGACAGTTTTGGTTGAGAATTACAGCTAGGTCTCAAACTGTGAGAACAGTAAGAGCAAGTATAGTTATTAGATCTTAGTATCAACCAAGAAATCAAGAAAAGATACAAAATGATATATTTCATGGGCTGAAAATCGTGTAAGCCCTCTTGGGTTTTATTTATTTTTGGAAAGTGATGAAGATGGACTCTAGTTAATAAGATTAACGAACACCTACACAAATTATATCTAAAGGCTCATATCAGATGGACAAGCCCCATGGTACAATATAAATAAGTCAAAAGATACTAATGTCTAATTTACCCATGGTTTGAATAGGAACTGCTATCTTATTTCATACCATGGGCTTGTTGTCTGAATAAATGACAGAGATAAGATGGCTGGATCCAGAGAAACAGAAAGTGGCTTTCCATTAACACAAGGGGATTCTCCCTCTTCTCCCTTCCAGTAGTCTACCCACTGAAGCCCTACCTGAGGGCTGGGGATCCTCTGAAATGGTGCAAAAGGAGGTATAGGGACTGCAGTGGCAATTGTCAAAAGCTGGAGAATACTTCTTGCACACACCCCTTTGAATGACTAGAAGCACCTCTTCTTGCAGGCTAGGTTCAGCCTATGTCTTATTTTCCATTTATATTTTCAACATTAGAAGTATGACATAGGATAAGAATATTTGATCCACATACATAACTGTGTCAACCTATTTTAATCAACAGTTTACAATCGTATCTGAACTTCCATATGGACAAAACATGGAATTATAACATTTCAGGATGCATTTTCTCACAACCATTGAATGACTTTTTGGAGGATTCATTAAAAAAGTGAAAAAGATCTAATGGCACTCGTGTTTTTCAGCTCAGAGATGGTCTGAGTTAAAATTAATGCAAAAATGAGAACCACATTGATTTTGAAAAATTAGTTAATTACAAAGATTCTAACAATATGTTATTTAGAACCCATTGTCAATTGTTGCCCACAAATTACCAGTATGGAACTAATTTTAAAATGAGAAGGACAAATATGCTTGGAAGACTATTACAGTGTCTGGGATAAAATCCTTACTAAACATTTTTGGACAATTCAGTTATTATTAAAATATGAGACAGGCTTATAAAATAATTATGGTAGATAACTGAT